AGGAGAATAAAAATATATTCATCAAGAATAAAAGATACAACACTTAGTGATAGTCATAGGTTACCAATAAGCTATCAAATCACACTTGTAAACAAATAAAACAATATAAATTGAAAGATACAAGCAATATGGTTATAGTCATAAGTGGGGAGAGATAGATACTAGGAAGGAAGTGGGGAATAATAGTAATACAGTCTTAGTAAATTATTTGACAGTGTTGTGGGAATTAGTTGTTAAGCAGAGTGATGGCATTTGGGGAAAAAANAATTTATGTACAGGATGTGAGGGGTCTGTAGATATTTTCACAGCCCTCTATTTGACTCGTGCAGTATACAGGTCCTCGATGGAAGGACCTTTCCTTAAACTAGAGGAAGAAAAGGCAGGCTCGCAGGTTGTCAAAAACCTGTGCCTAGGTTATAAGAGAGTGAGCTGGCTTAGAATTGATATTCAATGCCATCCACAATATTTGCAACATCAGATATTTGGCCTGTACGGTATCCAGAGTTAACAAGGAATTGACTGGCATTCTATATGTTCTTAATTTCTGCTCTACCATTTTTGTCCAGAGTAAAGGTTAACATGAAAGGTAGTTCAGTAAGAACACAATAGTTGCACCCATAGCAATTGCAATGAGGACTGCCCTAATGAATATTTAATTTTTAGGCTGCTCTTCTTCATCACTGACATCATAGACTGAAACTTTTGTTATCAACTCTTTAAACCAGTGCAATACTTCTCTTTAAGGGCCACTTACATTCAGGGTATAGCCATTAGATCTGCTTGTTCTCAGTTCGAATGCTCTTTTCCCAAGTTCAGCCATTTAAATGTGTCCCTCTGTGAAATGGAAACATTCCCCATTCCCCTAACTGTGTATGAGTGTGAGTGTGTGTGTGTGTGTTTGTTTGTTTTCTCACACCCCTATCTGTCATTTTACACAAAGACATGCACATGCTACACTGTTATTTGGTTACTCATAAAACTTATATTACTCAAATTCCATATTTTCATTGTACACATGTTGTACTCTGACAATAAAGCTTTGAATTGAGAATTGATTTGAATTCCTATAAACTATTTGAAAAGATGCCTCTGAAAATGTATTCTAAAACCTACAATTCTATCAGCATCATTTCATTTCACTAAACCAAAATGTGAACATTTCATGGTTACTATACTTTCTAAAATTGATCTCTTCTAATTGCCTTTTCAAAATACATTAGTTAACTGGAGGGGTTTTTTTTTCTTATATTTTCAAACTGTAAATCTCATATTTTGCCAGATACAACTGACAAGAAAAAGTAGGGAACAACAAATCCTCCTACCAACCCACGTGCTACGTATACATGTAAACCTTGTTTTTCTTATCATGGTCTTTGCTACAACTTCATTTCTTCATTAGTTAGTTTTGTTGGAATAATATTTAAGGGAGAAAAAAACCTCTTCTTTACTATCTTAAATGAGAAAGTCTTTCAGGTTTTTTTTTTCAAACTGAGGCAACACAATCACAGTTTCAAGTCTGATTGAAATCACCCTGACAACAAAAGTGCATATAGTCAAGGCTATGGTTTTTCCAGTTGCAACGTATGGCTGTGAAAGTTGGACCATAAAAAAGGCTGAACACCAAAGAATTGAGGCCTTTGAACTATGGTCAGTTCTAGAGATCAACCTTGATTGCTCCTTAGAAGACCAGATCCTGAAGATGAAATTCAATTACTTTGACCACCTAATGAGAAGGAAGGAGCCTAATGCTGGGAAAGGCTGAAGGCAAAAGAAGAAGGGGATGACAGAGATTCCAGGCTGGCTGGAATCACTGAAGCAGTCGGCGTGGGCTTAAATGGACTCCAGAGGATGGTAGAGGACAGGAAGGCCTGGAGGAGGGTGTCCATGGGGTTGCGATGGGTCGGACACGACTTTACAACTAACAACAACAAAATTGAAATAAATGCATGTGTTCTGCTATTCAGTCTATTTTCTTTTTCTAATGCTATGAAGGCAGTCAGATTTTTTTCCACTGAAGTTATACCCACAATTTTTGCTGCTGCTTCGAAGCTTGTGAATCTAAATCTCTCATATCTGATCTAGATAGGGTTTGCAATCAATTCAAGTTGCACAGCAAAATAGTTCCTTGGGAATTATTTCCATAATAGTTTCATAACAATGGATCCTTAGAATTATTTTTCAACATAATCAAGGAATCATTGTCCATTAATTATATTTAGAGAAGGATCTAAAGGCATAATTCTAAGCCTTATCAATCCCTTGCCATAAGAAATCCGCTCTTAAAATTGAAATGTAATGAGTGCTTACTAAAATATTGAGTCAAAGAATAAAACAGAGGCTTTCTGATCATTTCTAGAAGTGAATATATTTCCCATTCATGGAGTAATATGTATGTCCACTTGGAAATAAATCTCATTGAGAGCATGTGATTTATTCCTGGATTGCTTTTAAAAATAGCAGATTATGACTCCTTGAAATAAGTCTCCTCTTGGGATTCATATTGGTAAAATGATAAAGATACAAAGGAAAGCTTTTACTTAAGACTGGGCTTGCTTGCTTACTAATCATTACTAGTAATAATTGGATGCCTCATTTCTTCTCAGATCCACTTCCACTGTCTGCAATTAGAAGTGATGTGGTTAGGTGAATTTCTCAGTTTCTGCTGTACTACACCTAGATTGTAAATCCAAGTGAAAGGAATGTAACATACACAAGATGACTATTCTCTTGCATGTTCCCATTCGTTTCAGTGGGGCTTATACAGAGGGCATTCAGATCCCAACAAACTATAAAAACCTGCAACGTTGTAAGGTTAAGCAAAAGATGCAAGTACTAGGAGAAATGGAAAATGAAACCCTGCACCAACTTCTGCCTATGGAGGTTCTCAGTCATTCAGGTCATGGTTGTCCCAAATGTGTTTTTTTCAAGAGGCAACTGGATTTTCTGGGGGTTTTTTTCTCTGAAGACATTTCGCTTCTCTTGGATGAAGTTTCTTGGATGAGAAGCGAAACGTCTTCAAAGAAAAAGTCCAGTTGCCTCTTTTAAAAAATACCTTTGGGACCATTGGGATCATTATGTTCTGAACATCCTCTCCCCAAAATGGTTTCTCTTCCTGTAAGTCTCTAGGGAAATAGTTCTGAAGTCCTTCTCATACAGGGGATTATGAAGCAAACTACTGTATTTTTCAGAGTATAAGATGCACCTTTTTTCCTCAAAAAAGAGGCTGAAAATCTGGGTGTGTCTTATACACCGAATACAGCATTTTTGCCTCCCAAAGCCCCGCCCCTTCACCAAAATGGCTGTGCATACCATTATGGAGGCTTTCAGAGCTCCTGGGGGCTGGGGAGGGCAGAAATGAGCAAAAAACAGGCCTTTTTTTGCCTCCCCAGCAGCACTCTATAAGCCTCCATAAGACTGTGCATGCAACTTTTTTCCATTTGGAAAGCTCTTTAACTGATTGATAAGAATTACATTGATCAAGTGCTGTGCCAGCAGAAACACCTACCTATCTACTGTATTTCTCTCTATCTCTATCTCTCTCTCTCTATCCCTTTAGCTACTTACCTACTTACCTACCCTCTCTCTCTCACTATCAACCTATCTACTGTATTTCTCTATCTCTTTCTATTTCTCTCTCTCTATCCCTTTATCTACCTACCTAACTACTCTCTCTCTCCCTCCCTCCCTACTGTATTTCTCTCTCTTTCTCTCCCTTTCTATCCTTCTATTTATCTACCTACTTTGTTTTTTAATTTGCCTCTTCAAAACCTTGGTGCGTTTTATACTCCGGTGCGTCTTATACTCCAAAAAATACGGTAACTTAGTTCCTTTGATTACAATAAGCAAACATTCTTTCCTTGTTTTTAATGTTATCTAAGTACCTGATACTCCCTTTAAATAAAATAAAGATTATGACTATACATCATAGAAATTATTTTTGTTGATTCAAATACTTTCCTTTGCTGGGTTTATTTTTTTCTTCTTATAAAAATACTTTCTTTTGAAAAGCAAAGCCCAATGACTAAAGTTCAAGAAGCTCTTTAGCTGTGCCCAACGCAAGTTGAATGCATGCAATCCTGAATGAAAAAAGATCCAAACTATTCATCTGTTGAAGGGAAAACTCATCATCGTCATCTCAATGCCTATCTTACCCTTGTCAAAAAAAAATTTTTTTTTTTAGAAAAATCAAAGCATTTGCAAATCAACAAATAGAAAATCATTGAAAACACAAACCCATGTTCTTGACACATAGAACAAGTTACACAACTCTTTGGATTAGGTTGCTATAAAGTCTCTAGGAGCAAGGATTCTTTCCAAACCAACCTTTTTCCTTCTGAACTAAGAAATATTTGAAATATTAAACCTTTGCCAACAGCGCTCTATAGAAATCCACTTTTCAAACAATATTGAACTAAATCCCTTTATTTTATTTTTGCCAACTAAATCTCCCATCAATGATTGACACAAGTAGAATATGTGAGATATAACCCTGAAGGTATGAATTCAACTCTGATAAAAGAAAGAAAGAAAGTGAACTAAATGTTTTAGTTGAAATTCTTATTCCTATGGTTTGGCATTGATTAGAATTAAGTGATAATATGACCTTTGATGTGCCTGATTATCTATAGCTTGGAAATGATGGAAAATAAATAGGGAGTGGGCTAAGACTGTAGATGATTTTCTTTGATCTCTAATAAGTATCAAGAAATACTGCAATGAATTCCTAATTTAGGGATTAGTTAAAAAATAGGATCCTTTAAACAGCTTAAGTAATTTCTTTCCAGTTGGGTCCCTTTAGGTCTAAATTGATGGGATATGTAATGGAAGGCAGAACTACAACTGTAAAAAGAGGAAATATTTCTCTACGGCTTATCCAACATGAAGGATCAGACTAAAAAATTTTGGAGCAACAATATATTCTGAGCAGGGAAGGGAAATGAACAGCAATAACATTGTCCAAACAAAATTTTCAAGATTCTGGTCTTGATCAAATTACTCACCCACAATGACTGCAATGACAGTGAAAAGCACAAAAAAATTTCTCAGTAGGTAACTTTTAACACTTTCCTTTGTGATGCTTTGAACCTTCTTTTTTGCCATAAGAGTACGTTTCCGAACCCCTTGCTGGAAGCGCTCCATCCTATTCCCCGATCTTGCGTCTTCACCGTTAACTTTAGTCATTTCTGTCTCAGGAATTTTTTTAAAAATTCTCCCTTTTCTGTGTTCTTAAAAAAATCTTCTCAGTAATAACAAGGAACCAAAAAAAAAAAGTAAATTAAAAAAATATCTTAGACCAGAGGCAAGACCTACAGAGAAAAATAAAAATAATGCGAGTTTAATCTATAATTAGCTAGATTTTTAAAAAGAAAAATCATGTTCTGTAATAACATTCTTAAAAATAGACAATAGAGGGATATTGGTAAGCAAATTTCTCACTGATCAGCAGTTAACCTTTTAATAACTAGCTATCAAAAAAGCCAAAAATTACATAAAATTGACTTGCAAATTTAGCTTCAACATTTTTAAAAATCCAGTATTATAATGACATTAACTTAGTAAGGATGGAAATGAAAATCAAACAACAGTGAGTTTATCATGATGCACCTGGAAAAATGTTACTAACAATATGTGCCCATTTTACATCGAATCACAGAAGAAATGAATAATTCTCATTAATAAATAAGACATGTGGGCTAAAAGAAAAGTTAAAAGTTAAAGCCCTTTCCATCCCAACATTGTGTTCTACAAAAATGCCCCCAAATGTGTCTAAAACACTATATCCTCAAGGCCTCATGCGCATGAAATTTATGCATATACTTATCATTCTCTGAAAGGTCAATGAAATTTAATTTAATGCAATACAATCTTAGAAAAGGCCAATGTTACAGTAGTTATGCTAGGTTTTTAACGTTGTTTCTAATGATCCATTGAGATTATTTGGCATATATTACACCTGACATGTTCAGCTACTTCAGAAGAATGTTCTGAGTATGCATTCCTGTCTAGGTGCATGCTGTAGTTACTTTACTAACAGGACAACTAAGAATTTAAAGTTGCAATTTTAGTAGAGGTGTTTATAAGGGAGGCTACATCTTTATTGTAGCTCGCAATAAACCAAATCTCACACCTCGCACACCCCATGCAGTATCTACAGATTTTTAAAAACTCATTGATTTAAATCAAAATTCTTTTTCACAAAGATTCCTCTTTAATACGATTCAATGGCAGGTGTGTTACAGATTTGTTTCTAGAGTACCACTAGATTTTGCCTTCTTTCCTAACTCTTGTAGTGCACAACAATAAAAGATGCAGAATTTCTCAGGCCAATAAAGATACAGATATAGAACTCTTGCTATATCCAATACTGTGCCGTGGATTCAAAACAGTTGAAAACTACGGCTAATAACTGCTTAAGCCTCCTTCAGTAATATTCTAACAGATCAGAAACGATAATATCTACATCCAGTTATGAATTTGGGATTTCATTCTTCGCTCAACAATACTCTTCTTTTTCCACCCCCTACTCAAAAGTCCTGAAAATGACAGAATTTGAATAAAGCGCACTCACTCAAAAAATCAAATCCTTTTGTTTTGCCTGTGTGATTATATTCGTTTCTACCCACTTCAGATGGCAGGCGGGAAAACCCCACTCTCCATCCATCATTGTACAAAAATACAATTTTCGCATAAAGCGTCATAAACATTTGCTTTAAAAAAAAAACACCCAAACTAAACCAAACCAGATATTCAATCTTTCCCCACGTCCCAAATCCAGAGCATTGCAAGTTCTCTTCCCACCCTCCTTCCCATTTTCTTTTAAATCCCGAGAAAGGGAAACGAGTCAACGCCAAGGTGCGCTCGCATCCAACCGGGCGGGGGTGAAAAAAAAAGGGGGAAAGAAAAGCGAAGACAGGAACGCACACAATTGGAAATTAATAAACGCACCCACCTTTTCAAAATTGGAGTCCTCCGAGGGGCAAATGGGCAAAGGTAAGGTTCCCCCAGAAGATACCAATGAGATAAAAAGGGGGGTTTGGTGTGTGACAATAAAGTCAAGGGAGACGAAGTTAGGCGAAAAGCGTGTACTCCGCGGAGCAAATCGCAGCGAGTTAAGGAAAGGGGAGGAGTCTACCAAGCCAAGTTTGGGGAGGGGGGTGGTGGAAGGCACACGCAGAACAGTAAAACGTGTGTTCGGGGAGAGTGGGGAGGCCCCCCCCGGTGAAAGTTGAGCTTTGGGAATATTGATGAGCGTTGGTACCCTAGAAGTGGGTGGCTTTCTTTCTCCTCCCTGCCCCCCCCTTCTTTAGCCCATATTCACGCTTGGTCAACTCAGCTGATGCGGCGTGGATGGCCAAGGCAGGCACGCATCGTCCGCTGCTTCTTCTGGCTGGACGTGGCAGGCGAGAATCCCGTTCCTCTGTAGCTGGATTCCCCAGCATTATCCACCCTCTTCAGGGAACAGAAGAGAAGGCCGTGCGAGCGTAGACTCCAAAACTCTCTGGACAAGGAGGACTGTGCCATGTCTTGAGATTGGCCCATTATTCTCCCCAACAAATGCTTTGGGGGCTCCTTGAGAACTTGACCTTTTCAGCTTCTCAACACTTGAGAAGCGCACTACCTAGAAAAGATTGAACTTGACCTGGGATCATTCTTCCTTTTTCTTTACAGCCAAGACAAAACTTATTCTTGTAGGAAGTGAGCACCCACCCACCCCTCCTAGAAAAATGAAATATCCTAGGA